AAGGCCCAGAAACCCCAAAACAGTGGTAGAGCTTGTATAGTACAGCACACATTCACACACATGGGCATGGTTTTGGCGTAATTAAGCGCTTCATCATTTTTAATCCCCTATTCCAGGTGTTTGGCGAGACTAGGAGTGAATTATTAAGGCATTAGCAGCGGGATGGAGGAAAGCAGGTCCACGGTGGCGAGAGACCCTCCGTCAGACACTTTTTAATGGCACGTCTATTTTTCAGCGCCGCGTGCAGCGGGCTTTTCATGACACACGCGTGCTGCTGTGTTTTGGCACCGCATGCTCAGATATACACAGACAAACAGGGGAGGGTGGCGTGTGGGTGAGCTGGGTCACCCAGAGAAAAAACTGAAGAATGCAGAGGCCAGCAGAGACAGACAGAGGGACCATGTTTTTCCAACCCCTCTCTCTCTATCTCTGAATAGAGATAATGATTAATGCTCAGACTGCAGCATATGCATTCATGATTCCAAGTCCACTCACCAATAGTCACCCTGGCCACATGCCCTAATGAGATACTGGGTCATGTACAATATGAAAACACTGTGTTTTCTATAAGGAGAAGTGAGTGGGAAGGCAGTTTTTAGTTTGAGAGTTGAAATGCAAGATGGAGAAATAAAGGGATGCTCAAAAGAAACACAGTTTGTTAAATTATATGTTTTGTTGATTTTCTAAGTGAAAGGAAGTTAACACATCCTCTACAGTTAGCTCACTTAAATATAGCATTTTTCTGCAACATTTATTGAACAATTCCTATTTATTTACTAGTTATTTTATAACTTTTCCACAGGCCACATTTTGTGTTTTATTTTTTCCTATTTGCTAAGCAAATAAACAGTAACTGTGCATAAAATGCACAGAAGCGTGTTCTCTTTAGAGGATGTGTCAACTTACTTTCACTTCAAACCAACACGTCATTTGATCAGGGGTATTTAAGCTTGTCCAAGATGCACGAGTGACTGAAATACACCGTTACAGAGCACAAGTATTTTTTATAAAGCACTAAATATCTTGTGCATCCATATGCACAAAACATTTAGTGCCACATAAAAAAAATCTTAAAAAAGGTGCATGTAAATGTACAAATCTGTATAAAGGTGCAGAAACGTAGATGCATGTTTTTTTATTTTCCATTACATTTATCATATTTACATAATATTTATTTAATTATTATGATGAGTTTTTGATGACCACACTGGCTCAAAGCCTGCAACTGTCCATAGAGTTCTAAAAGAATGTTTCTTTCACTGATTAAGGACGGAATGCTTTAAAGGATGAATATGAAATTGTTGAAATATGCCAACCCCAAATCCTCAGCTATATAGAAATCTTTAGGGAGTTCCAATTAGTCCTTGCTGACCCGTCAATTAACACGCAATTAACACTTCTAATAAAGCATGAACAGAAACAAATAAATTAATAAATAAACAAAAGCTATACTCTATGGAAAATAAATGACGGTGCCCGAGATGCCCTTGTATAAATAGCAGAGGCGGAGTGAGAAGTGTCAGAAATGCAGCATTTCAGTGTTGTTCCCACACACACGCTGCTCCATCCATCTCCTCTATCATACCATGGTTTGTTTAGACACTTGACAAACACGGCTCCCATTCCCCTGTTTACAGCGCAAACTCACTTTAGCCAACCTCCAACACCCGCACTCAGAGACGAGTTACTAATTGACCCGAGGCAAGAAATTCAAGGTCATGCTGCTCCGAATCGATATGGTGATTGGCTCAGGATCTAGAAAGCAAAGGCTGGGAGAAGAACGAGAGGTGCTGTTAGCATCTAAATTAGTTTTAGCACTTGCAAATAGACAACGCTAGAAAAAAGTTCATGTGTAGAAATACTAGTGTTGGATCTTTTTGATGATGTTCATGTATACACGTTTTACAGTCATCATTTGTGATGTGTTGGTCCAGATTTTGAGCCTGTAACTGAGCCAAAAGCAGTGCAAATGTATCTTTGATCTGTTCAGTGGATTTCAAATGGATTTTAACAATTTTAGTATGGCTAGAGCTCGTCTGTGGACAGCTAAGAGCAGCTCTGTAGTCAGAAATGGACCACTGATGAAGCGCTAGTGGATAGTTAATGCAAAGTGTGCATCAACAGATGGGCTGCAGTCTCTGGCTCCATAAACCAGCAAGCTAAGTGTTATTTCAGGCTAGATTTGTTACAGGATTGGAGCGGTTTCATAGTGTTTTCCCCTCCGATATCTGATCCAGCATTTTCTGCTGATATCAACCTAATGCCTAGTAGAATAGCGTAAGCATATTTCACATATACTCACCGCCAACTTTATTACAAAGTAGAGATCCACAGATCCAAACTCAGGTATTGGGCTGATATCAGCAGAAAATGCTGGATCGGATATTGTAGAGAAAAAAAAAAAAATGAAACTGATTTAATCCTGTAAGAAAGTAAAGGATCAGCACTGGCAGATACTCCAGGTTTCAGTACCAATATCACAAAAGAGAAAGCGGTCTTGCGCTATCTCTGTTAGAAACCCTACACTTGTAGGTCCACCTTGCTGGTGTACAGTTAAAGACTGTAGGCCATCTGTTGATGCAGAACTTGAGTCAAACATCCTCTAGACTAGAGGTCACTAATAGACGGACTGCGGTCTGAGTCCGGACCCAGACGCTGTACTATGCGGACCTGGACCTATAACCGATAAACTCTGGAGAATTATTTAATTTCGATGGGGTGGTCCTATTTTAATCGGCGTCACTTTTCTAGATTTTACGGTACCGCTTTAGCATCCCGGGAGACTCACAGACCAATCGCATGCATTGTAAATAGCACACGTGACATCGTAATAGTGCATTACGATGAGCACTGAGACTCGAGTGAGTGATGCACAGGGCAGGGAAACAGCAGTCAGAGAAGAAAGTCAGTCAGAGGGAAGTTACTTCACATGGTGTGCTCTAAAAAGAGAAAAGCGACAATAAATGTTGTTGAAATATTACTGAATTGCACTTTATTTGATTTGACATTCAGTTGTTGACTGTATAAGATGCTGATATAACTACTAGGCTACTTCAGTATACAGTATATGGCACCGAATCATGATGCAAGTTAGACATTATGATGTTCCAGACCTTTGCTTGAGGAAATTTTCTCTAATTGGACCTTAGTGAATTTTAATTAAATACCCCTGCTCTAGACCTTTATTGATCGTCAGTTTCTGGACCAAATTTTTGGATCAGTGACACTGATATGTTTGAAAATGCCGCTGTACCTGATTTACTCATACCAGCACCACACACTCTACCATATCACTACCATGTCAGTGTCACTGCTGTGCTTAGAATGGTCCACCACCCAAGTGGTGAGTGGACATTCAAGGTAGAGCTTTCTACTAAAGTGGAAAGTGAATGTACAACTGTGTTAACGTGGTTTACAAGCTTATAATCATAACCAAAAATTTATGTCAAAGTGATTACACTCTACATATTACAACCATTTGCGATCAGAGAGCAACCGTTGAGGCTTCTTTTCTGCAATCTGCAATCCTTATTTAAGCCTTTCCAGCGACAGTACTGTGGCAGAACAAGCATAGGTCACAGAGTTCAGACTCTGAGAAGTGACTCCACAGCGCCAGAGGACATCCACACACCTGGACACGCAGCCCCTCCCACCTCCGCTTCCCCTTAAACAAATCCACACTCCAATAAATCACATGAAAAACCTTCTCCCTATCTGCCAGCCTCTCCCTCTCTTTTATGTCTTGACATGTAAATGTGTGCACTACAGAGGCAGGTGACTCTTTTTAGAGTGACGCAAGCTTATTCCATTTTGAAGATTTCCTAAGAAATATGAAAAAGCAAAATTACTGAGGCTACTGAAGCTGCTACCGGGCCGTCATTAGAAATGGATGGAAACAGGAACTGTCTACAAAGCTTTATGAGCCAGCAATGATTTAGCAAAGCTATACTTATGACAATTTCGTGTCTTTGCAGCAAAGAGTGACCATGCAGTAAAACAATAACAAGTAAACAATAAGTGTAAGACACATTTACAAGTCATTAGCAGCTTTTTTAAAACCACTTACTTCAAAGTGATCAATCGATGGCTTAAAAAGACAAAATTAGATTTTTTTTAAGACATCATTCATACAAATGCCACAAAATGAGGCTAAACTCATGGCGAGGTGCATCCTGCCTGTGAATGAGCTAGAAGGGAGGCTGGCTGTCCTCCATGAGTAATTTGGGAATTACATGGCTGGCTTAACTGTCACTTTTTGTCATTCCTATGGTAATCTGTGGCTGCTACATTATTTTTTATTTTTTCACACAGACACATCTGTGCTGAGGAGACAGCAGTGAGGACACCGAAATGTGATACACATTTTAATTTCACACTCCATCAGCTTTTATGGCTGGTTCTGGCATGGAGAAGAAAAAGGGAAGGAGAGAGAGGGAAGGAGAGAGAGAGAAGGAGAGAGAGAGCAATAGAGAAAGAGAGAGAGAGACATTATCTTGAGCATGCTGTTAGTTCTGCTGGAGATACTCCATCATACATCCATGGTCAACACAGGTTAGCAGCTCTGAATGCAGCATCAGTTAGGGAAAAGTGAACCGGTGTCTGAGCCAAGCAATAGAGGAGTGGTCGCTTGACCTCTAGGGGTCAATGATAATTCGGTTTCCTCCATGCAGGTCAAAGAAAGAAGGGAGAGGAGGAGACGGGATGTGGAGGAGATTTATAGAGAGACGACCTAATGGAGCAGAATGGACACCTAAACCAAGACCAGTCTGCACAAGAGCTGCTTCACTAGTTAAGCTCCTCCAACACACAGCAGTGACATAGCAAGACCAGAGGAGACAATTAGTATAGCTTCATTCTCCTGGGAACACTTTCTGACTCACTCTCACACACACAGGCATATACTTGTAAACTCAACACTTTACTGAAGGGCAGCTACATGATACCTGCCTACTGACACAAACCTACACAGCTTCTGAATGCTCAGAGTAGATGATACTGACCTGAGGAATGCCGGACACTTCTCCTTTCAGCAGTGGCTGGGAGATGGAGGGTGTGATGACTCTGGCATCCTCCACTGGACGTCCACGCATGAAATGCTTCCCAGCCTCATAGATGTCCACCTCAATCATCTTCCCTTTGAACTTAGCATTTTTGGGAACCAGGACCTGTGCAGAAAGAACATGGATGATTGGAACAACCAAACAGAAGAAAAAAAGAGGTAGGCAGAGAGGTCCAAGCACACAAACCCAACAAACAGTACTGTACTATAGGAAGATAAGTTAAAATCCCAACAATGGCAGGAGTCCATGAGAGCATATTTAGTCCTGTTTAAGTGAATGATGCACATTAAATGTTGAAAGGTTGAAAATAATAAATAAATAATTTTAAATAAATGTTGCACTACTGTTTTGCTAGTGAACTTTGTCTGGAATATTAGGTCGAGAAACTCTGAGCCTAAGCAACACTTATAAAAAAAATAAATAAATAAATACATAATGTATATATATATTAATATGTAATATGTATACATATCAAGCCATTCTTTCCTCGAAAGAATGAAAAACACTCACAAACCATTCATAACTCAGTTGAGTCTTCAACTGTTTTGTGCCTTTAGCTGAAGTATGACATCTTTAACACATCCTGTGAGTATGAGAGCTCCAGCGAAACTTAAACACCATCGATCTCCACATGCCCAGAGTTATATGAGAGGGCCCAGATCAATAGTGTTCAATAACAACAGGGCTGGTATCTTCAACCCCACATTACGAGCCCCTACATCTCTCTTTAGCACTGTGTTCTTACAGACACTATGTCTATGCTCACAACCTTAAAAATACCCATAAACCTAACACTTCTCTCTCCTAACCATTAAAAACAAGCAGTAAACATAAACATATGCTTACAACAGCAATAGTCACTCCAGAAAAGCCATACTAAGTATCTAATTTACAGTTTAAGGGATGTATAGCTTGTTTACAGGGCTAAAAAGAACAGTTATTTGGTTAACTGCTAAATGATCAACATGCAAGCTTCTTGTTTTAATGGACACTGTATTTGGTAACAGACTCTTCCACCACCAGTGGCCTTATGACAACATGAGGAGGATTACTGACTCTCTGCTATAACGCCAAAGAAAGACAGATTGCAATGGACTCACAGGGAAAACTGAGTTAAATAGCCTGTGTGGGTTGGATCTATAGGGCTTTGCGTTCAAAATTGCTCTTGTTACCAATACAACTAAGCCCAGGATAACTTCAGGAGAAGGGGAGCCCACCTTTCATTCTCTTGACATTAAAGGCAAAGCAGAGCGTTACCATTCATCAGCTCCAACATAGCTCTACTACTGCCAATTAATCACTACACAGTGTTTTCTGTTATCCACATCTCAATTTGAATTTTATGAGCAGACACTGCAGACCTCCATTAAAGGTCACCCAAGTTCATGAAGAAAAAACATGAACTGTACCTGTGTTGCTGTTTTCTTTGTAAAACATCTTGTAAATTGAAGGAACTGCTGCACTCTTTTTGAACCCCATCCTTGCCTTTTGTTAGCTCACACATTTCCCATGTGACAGTTCCTGAACTGGAGCATCTTTAGCTGGGTGTGGCTATGAGCAACAAGTGACTGAAAGTGAGGGCAGTCTTTGTGCAGACCTGTGAAGATGTGAACTGCCCATACGTTTACTTCTTTTTTGGTAAACACATACTCACTTTTAAAACATAAAAGTGCCAAAAGAATATTCTTTAGAGTGATGCCACAGAAGAACCATTTTGATTCCCTTCTATCTTGAAGATATCTGATGAAATCATTTGGATGATAGGCGAAGTGTCCTTAAGATCAGACAGCTGACCTTGAAGTATCACATTTGTTGCTCTCATTGTTAGGTTCTTTAAAGAACTATTTTGTAAATGAGATGTGTGAGTGTAAAGAACCTTTTTAAAGTTTAAAAAACCTCCACATAATGCAAAGATTCTATACCAAATAAAAGGCTGTTTCCTAGAACTGTACATACAAGTCAAGTACGGCTGAGGAGCCTTTATTTTTAAGAGCATATGAAACACATTGGTGTGCATCGCATGAATAATTCTAAACGATCACACAGCCTTGGCAGGTGACCAATACCTCAGGCTTGAGCAGTGGTGGCAGCAACATCAGGCTGGATTCAGCGATCCCTTAATGGATCATGTTGGGACAAACTGCCATTGAAAAAAACATCTTCATCTCCCTTCATGGTCAGTCACATCCCAAGGACTCTGGAGACCAGAACTACTTTGAATGGCAGGATCAAGGATCAAGGTTGAGAAGAAGGAAGAAAAGGGATGGGGGGACGGAGCAAAAAAGCAAACGCGACAGCTTGCATCCGAGATTAGAGTGCCTGTGCTCTCTTCTATTGATGGCTCTAGAGATGGGCTTTTGTTGGCTCCCATAATAGAACGATCAATGGCGGGTGGCTGGCTGGACGCATGACCCCAACAACCCTTGCAGAGCCAAAGCCCACTGCGCTCAGTCATGACACTTGGCTGAGCAGTGTTCCCTTCATCCAACCACCCATAAGGAGAGGTAGATCATGAGAGAGATTCTTGAATGAATGCCACCTGTTTGCAACAAAAATAGGCTACATTATACAGCAGAACCTGTCGAAATAGTTTGGGAAGCCAGCTGAACTAGTTTTAATTTTACATTAGAATTTTAGCTTTAATTTTAGACACACTTTAACTAGACACACTGGCGTGTTCAGTTAAGGACAGCACACTTTGTGTTACTTTTAACAAGGGATGCAACAAATATTCAATAAAACTGGATTCATTAAATAATTAAAATATTCAAAAATGAAAAAAACAATTTGAATGACTGGAATTTTACCCATGTGCACTTCAGTGCATCAGTTTTTAAAAGTCTGACGAAAAAGTCTGCTACTGCGTACAGCCATCAGCAGTATGCGGTAGCAGTGCATCTAAAGAGAACAAAATAATGCCTGCAGGTCACGCAAAACCAGCAATTTATGGTTAGCCTTATTTTCATGTCAGTAAAACGGTACTTTCCTGTCAAAGCCATGCCTATATCTAGGCAGTAGACAGAGGCAGGCTCTAATTTGAGGTAATAATGTTGGTTTTAATCACCCACTGCAAATGCTTTTTCTACTGCTCCCGACTGCAAATGCAGGGATCATTCTCCCGTACTACAAATGCATTACTTGCACTTTGTTCATAGAAAACTTGAAAGCCCACACTCAGACAGAGCAAAAGAACCCACACGTTTGTTTCATTCAGTCTGCGCCAGCATGTTCCCATCGCTCTGTCCACAGAGTAATCGTCAAAATTAACACCAGCACACATGCAGCACAGACAAAGGCATTGACACGCAGATTAGATTTTGATCTGAAAAGATTGAAAACTACTAAAGACGAATGCCTCTAAAGCCTAAATATTGCACGCCAATGCATTCCACACCAAAGCAGTGAGAGCAGATGTAGAGAGAAAACTCAATCTGCCAGAAAAAAGTTGAGAGGGATCGAGAAAGGGAGAAAGTTTATAGCCTGGAGGTCAAACAGCAAAAACGCATTCCTGGTCCCCTCTTTTTAAACAGCATGACTTCAAACATGGTTTGATGACTGCTAACACAGGTAAATTGATTTATCTGAAGATGTTTAAAAGTGGATTTTTACAAGGCTGCTTTGAAGTAATATGCAGTCAGGTAATTTTTTTTTTAAAACAACAATTTAATTTATTTATTTCATTTTTCAAGTCGAGCCCTGCAAACTATAGCGTTTCCAAATGTTTGATTAAAAACTGACAGCAACATACACACAACACCTGTATTTCTGTCATTATGGGTGTTTCATGTTCTTCTGTAAGAGTGTATGTAAATGCTGCTGTTCTACACCTAACTAACTCTAACCTCAACAACCAAAACACCAACTTCATCCTCTTTTACCATTTCTAGTAAACAACTGCAGTATTTTTTGAGGAAAAAGCATTTTCTCAGCTAAAGCAGTGAAATCCCCCACTATGGCAAAATGTTCCATTATCCTGGCTACATCTGGTCCCCAGAAAGAGATAAATCCCATATACTGTAACAATTTCATTCTATCAACCTTAATACTGGCTTGAGAAATGGCGGCATGACTCCTAGTTCAAGACAAAACTGCACTGTTTCATTTGTCAAAGCAAATCTTCCTCAACAAAGGAAATAACCATGGCCTTACCTGTTCATAGAATTTGTTGTGAGCGACATAGTACTGCCCATCAAAAGACTCCTCAGTGACCAACACATGCTGCCTTTCACCAACCTGTGACAAAAGAGGAGTGAGAGAAAAATGGACTATGAAACACAAACTACACCAATGACACAGATATCTAAGAATATCAACTGCTTTTTCCACTGACAGTCTATGTTTGTGTGTTAGCAAGTGTCGATCACTGTCTTTTTAAATGTGTCCAATTTATTAAAATCCCTAGCTTGTACTTCAACTCACTGACCATTTTATGAGCTCAACATACCTTATAGGTCCACTATATAGGTGTAAAATTATAGACTGTATAGTCTGCCATGCACAATTTGTCAGCTGCCCTCTACCCTGTTCATTATTGGTCAGTTTCTGATCACACCATCATTGTTGTCCAGATATTATTTGGATAGTGGACCATTCTTGACATGGTGATGGAATGGTAGTATGTGTGGCACTGGTATATGCATCATTCTACTGAACTGGTTCGAAATCACAGTTGAAAACACACTTGAGACTTTTAACTGACTTGGACTTCATACAAAAACTGTTTTGCTTTGAATGACCCTACACCTTAATGTTGTTTATTTTTTTTTTTAAACAAATGACTGAACATTCCATTTTGTCACTACCAAAAACATTCACAACAACAAACTTTACCAAATGGTTCGGTAACGACTTTTGTCGTTGTCGCTTTACATATAGAACATCTGACTGCAGGCTGTGAGTGAGACTGTGGCTCAGTCAATGAATTTACAGTCAATAACAGCTTGGACAACTGGTGGGCACTAAACAACACGGACGTTTCATTAAAGAGAGTCTTGTTTATTTCGATTTAATGCAGGACAGAACATAAAATATTGAATAAATATCACTGAAGTCTTTTTTGTTTTTGATAGTATTTCTTACACATGGTATAGCTGTTCTTTTTTATATTCCTGTTTATAAAATCTAAATACTGTAATGCAAATTGAGTATCTTGGAAATGTCTTGAGATGTTGTGATGATGTATTTTTGCCATTTCGGCCACCCCTAGCCTGATTGAGAGCAATATGTCTGGCCTGTTTTTAATGTCTGCTGGTCATGAAAGCACAAAAATGCTTTTTATTAGCTTGTAAAAACATGGCATTTAGGTACAAGGTTGAAGCCTAAAAAGGGTGCTTTTTTATATATTTTTATAAATGGTCTCAGGCAGAGAGAGGGAGAGAGAGAGCGAAGTTTCACATCATTAACATGTGTTAATTTGAGAAAAAAGGGATCCAAAAGGCAGGAAAAACATGTCCAGGCCACCACCACTCTGATTATTCAAATCTGTGATGAAGGAGAAAAAAAAGAAAAGGATGCAAGAAAACGACCGTTGCATCCGATTCCATTCCCCTTCTATAATACTATCAGTAAGTGTTTTTCATGCAATCAAAACATTATGTCCTCGCTGACGAGCCAATTAACGTCGCAACTTACAGAGGGGGGGAAGCAGAAAAACACGGTTGGCATGGAAACTAAATTCTGTTGGAAACAGTGTATTGTTGGCCATCCATTAGATTTCAGGAGTGAGTGGCAGTGAATATGTTACTGCTCTTCACTGTTGATTGTGGGGGGAGAGGGGGGGCAGAATCAAAGCTGTAAAGTGAATGCACTTTAATTCTTGCAAAGAAAATAAACTAAAAAAAAAAGGAAATTTCCTGCAAAAATCACACACAAGCTCTGCTGCTTTTCGTTACACGCAAACACACACACACATAAAAAAGGTTTTTAAAGAAACCCAAAACACACACGTGAATTGTGAGGCCTTGAGTGTGGAAGACTTCAGAATGAAAGTGATGTAGAAAAAAAGAATGGGGAATGGGGGGATCCTAAAATCTCAACTGTTCTCACTTTATTTGCATAGGGAAAGGAGGGCATCTGGCCTGTTCAAATGACATTTAACTTAACGTGCCTGCTTGAGTTTCTTGGCCTGATAGAGTTCCATGCCCTGCTTCATCTTTATGCTATTTGGGAGTTTTTTTTTCCTGTCTCCCTAAGACTGATCTTTAGGGTACTGGACCCACATTTATAGAAAGTAAGTCTTGGTACTAGACATCTCGAGTAACTGAATGAATGGGGTGATATTGGATGGCTCTCATGATTTCTGATGCCACACTGAAGACTGCCAGAAAGTCCCACCTCTATGACCACCCCGAGAGTCCTTCCCTCAAACAACCCCTTTGCATTAAGAAATGTGAGCGTCAGCAAGGCGTATACTTTGCTAGCTTACTAAGTCTCTCTGATATAAAATGGCAACAAAAGAGAATGGATTTTAAGTTGTTCTTTCAGAGGTATGCCAGACTTATTTAGCTTGACAGAAGAGATTCAACACCTTTGCTTATGGTCACTGATTTTTAAACAGGATGTTATTGCATGTTTACATTTGAACTACCACCTCGGTCTCTGAACACACTGTTTGTAATTGAACTCAAGAAGCAGGGCTGATTCCAAGGGTTGAATCCTTGAAACCAAGTGATATTACCTGGAATTCGATGCTACAGGAAAGCTGCTGTATCTGTTGGAAGCAGTATTACAAAAGGTAAAAGTGAACTGAACCGAATTATGTGGAAAAGATCCTTCCTGGCGTGGTCCATGTGTTGCACACTTATGAGCCTTACTGATTAAAGTGGTTATGGTGAGAGAGTCATGGATCTAAGATTCTTCTTGGCATCAACTTTGACCTCACCTTCTTCCAAATCCTCTCAAAATATGCTGGGTTTTAATGGGGAGGGTGCATCCACCAGCAGCAAAACTGAGAGTGGCCAAAGAGGTAAAGGAAGTGGCTGCTGTTCTGCTAAATGGAATTTCCATATAGTTGGGGCTATAAATGGCTCATCTGTTCAACCTAAAAAAAAAAATACTTCATATGGTAACAAGTAAAATAACTAGCTTTATTCAACCTTTATAAATACTTTGAAGGAACTTTCTTTAAATCGGATTAATTCTTTGCGTTAAATAAAACTAGTTAAATTCCTTGTTACCAGAGTAAGTAATTCTTTTAGGATGAACTGATGAGTAATTTGTTACAGTGTATAAACATTTACACACTCATTATTCTATTTTTTGAGTTGATATCAATGACAAAGCTCAGCTGTAAAAACCCTGGTTACACGTATTTTACCGAAACGTTGAGCTCATTTGCAAGCAAGGTAAGGTAAGTATACCCTTGAAGTAACTTTCTAGGAGTCAGAAGGAGACACAACAGGTGTTGCAAATATGGCACGTAGAAGCTTCAGGGGGTAATTTGTTTCAATGACCCAAATGATATCATGATTTCCATGATCAAAAGCACAGTTGGGATTCACCTGGAGAGCTTTTGGCCTCTGCTTCATAGATACATTCTTCATAATTAACACTTTAAAGTTTTTCGTTTTGTTTTGCTACATGATCCAAATGCATTTACACAATTCTATATTTAATTACATGGTAAGAAACACAATGAGTCACATTTACATTATATATTGGTATAAATCTGCAGTTCTAGCTTTTTTCTCATGTGCTTTGATATCAAGAAATTACAAAACATCTGGTAAAGCTATAAAGGATAGTCATTCTTCTCTGTAAACCAACACAAAAACTTTTCATTTCAATCTTAACAAATCATCTCATCTACTCACAAACACAAATTTATTATGGATTAAAAGTTTAGAATTTGCCATTTCAAACGAATTTCTTTAGTTGTCTCAGGGAGAAATCATTAATAACAGCATGACTGTGACATCTGAAGGTTGAAGTCTTGCAAAGTGTTATGAAGGAAATTTGGATTCTAGCTTTGGTGTCATGGTTAATATGTTAAACTGTTCTGTATGAGATTCTAGTCATACAAAGGTTTGTTAGTCTGGGTAGATACGTGAAAACACACCTGTGCTTCAATGGCTTCTGCACTGTGGCTTTGAGAAAAATTATGTTTCCATCTGCTGAGATGCTGTTCTCCCCTCACAATTACAGCTGGAAGGGAAATGCACTAAATTGTGCTCTTTAAAACCTCAGCTTCAAAACTTAGGAGCAATTACCATTAATGCACCACAAATACACTTCAAGGTGCACGACCACTAGAATTCCAAATGGGGAGGATGTCATTCAGGGTGTGCATGTGTGTGTGCACATGTGTGTGTTGTGTTATGTGAATTACATCTTAAAATAAGAGTCAATTCAAAGGCTGTGCGATGCAAATTCTAGTGAGACTGTCATTAAATAAAAAAAACAGGAAACAATTTAAGAACAGAGAGTAAAGCAAGACTTTTTTCTCTAGATCTCTTACAAACAAAAACAACAAGGCAATCATAGTTTTTACTGAAACAGCATGAAACGGTGCACTACTTCACTCAAAGTTCACCAGCAGGTGAGTGTTCAGAAGTGTTTTGAGTTTTTTTTTTGTTTGTTTATTTTTGGTTGCTTTCTTCTCTTCCAAACCTCATTTGTGATCTAAGAGGAGAATTATTGTTATTATTTTATTTTACATTTATAGTTAGCCATTTTGGTGCGGTTATAAAACCACATTTAGATGACTTAACATGCAAAGATGCAAAGATGAGGGTGTGTGAGATTTCAAAAACAAACTGCTCCTCTGGTTGGTTGATTTGGATGAGGATTATGATAGAGAATTAGAGGAAGTGTGAAAGGAAAGAAAGAAAGAAAAGGGTGAATCAAGAAGAGAGAAAGTGAGCAGGACAGAGAGAGCGAGAGAGTGCGTGTGTACACATATATGTATGTGTGTGTGTATATATATATATATATATATATATATATATATATATATATATATATATATATATATATACATACATACAATGCCCGGACAGTCTGTGGCGGCACATGACAACAACACAATTGGATGAGTGAGAAATCCGAAAGCCAAGTTAGATCAGGAGTCACAGCCCAAATGATAAGAAGAAGAAGAAGAAGAAGGCCATTTTGTCCTTTCAACAAAAGTCAGACCACCTTGGGAGCCGCAACATTTTATGTCCATTATGTCTCAGTATGTGATAATGTCCTAGTATAGGCTAAACAATACAAACGAGAGTGCAGACTTACCTCGC